TGAACCGGTCCGAATCCCTCTTTGAAGGTGAGAGGGTCGGTATATAAAACCTCGAAATAAATAAATAAATAGCTCTCCCTGGCTTTGTCTCCAAACTCTCCAAACGTGGTGGCCTTCGGGGTTTGTTTGAGTTGGCTTGGGAAACCTAGTCTTGACCACTTTGCCCCAAAACCTCCATCTCCTGGACTTGCCTCTGGTCCTCTTTGCTTCCAACTTTTGGGAGCCTGGCAGAAGGCCGCCAAGCCAGGGAAAAGGGGCAGAAGTGACCCTGATGTGATCGGAGGGGATAATTCCCAGCCTTGACAGATGGGCACATCACAACACCCGCTCCCCCTTTCATGTAAGGCGATCTCGGTGAAAGTGGATTATGGAGCTATCCCATTGCATTGCCCTTGGGATGGGATTAGAGGCTGCACACAGATAGGGAAGGGAAGGCGGGGAGAGCAGGAATGGGTTGTTTTGGCTGTTTTCATCAGTCTGGTTTTGGAAATATTGAGGTGAATGTCAGCAGGTTCGGTCCTGGTGTGGTGAAAAAAGAATAAGAACTCTGGAGAGGAAGTTGTTGTTGTTGTTGTTTCGTTGCTACTTCCTAACTGCAATTTTGCTACTGTTATGAATCGTAATGTAAATATCTGATATGCAGGATGTATTTTCATTCACTGGACCAAATTTGGCACAAATACCTGCTACGCCCAAATTTGAATACTGGTGGGTTGGGGATGATTAAATCTGAAATTAAATCCAGACAAGACAGAGGTACTCCTGGTCAGTCGCAAGGCCGAACAGGGCATAGGGTTACAGCCTGTGCTGGACGGGGTCGCACTCCCCTTGAAGGCGCAGGTTCGCAGCTTGGGTGTGACTCTGGATTCATCTTTGAGCCTGGATCTCCAAGTTTCAGGGGTGACCAGGGGAGCATTTGCACAGCTTAGGCTCGTGCGCCAGCTGCGCCCGTACCTTGGGAAGTCTGACTTGGCCACGGTGGTACACGCTCTGGTCACATCCCGCCTTGACTACTGCAACGCTCTCTACGTGGGGCTGCCCTTGAAGACGGCCCGGAAGCTTCAGCTAGTCCAGCGAGCGGCAACCATGTTACTAACGGGAGCAGGACGCAGGGAGCATACAGCGCCCTTGTTGTCCCAGCTCCACTGGCTGCCGATCTGCTACCGGGCCCAATTT